CAAAAATTTAAAACGAGTTTCGGTCAAGATCCAAGTCATGGAATGTTGGAGTTGGGTTCTGGAGCGAGAGCGCCACCCCAATTGGGCGCTCCCGGTAATTGTTACTAGGTTTGTTGAATCAGCATATATCTTTTCAACGAGTTTTTGTTGATGATTTGTTTAGGGTTTGTGATTTTGGTGATCCTATATCGGTAAGATGGAATTGTAGAAGGGGGATTTTCATGGACCCATTCAGTGATCTCAGAGATGAGAGAATTAAGGAACTTGAAAGGCTAGTCTAGTAGTTAACGTAACAATTCGCAAGCCTCAATAATGAGCAAGACGGTGATCTTTTAGCCCAAGAGGATCTCGAGTACAAACTTTTTCACTTTCGCGCTCCGCGTGTAGAATCAGGTGATGAGGATAGTAATAGAAGATCTAGACATGGGGAACATCACTTTAGGGTTTTCAATTTGAAGGATAAGATTGTTGAATTTGACACAGATTGTAAATATGCAAGTTTGTAAATTGGGTTTCACCACGAATCTTTAATATATACTCAGATGAACAACAAGATCTCTTAGGAGATCCGATCTCTAATGAGGATGAAGATGATGATGAAGAGATTTAGGAAGAGGGTGGTGATGAATATGGAGAGAAGGAAGCAGGAGGAATGATCCAAACCATGGCCTTTGAATATTTCATTAATATCAAAGAGGTGGAATATTAGGAAATTGAGGGCATTGGAATCAGAGTAGTGCAATGGAAGCATGGTTGACTCAAACTTTGCAAATTATAGCCTTGTATTCAGAGAGTAATGAAACAAATGTCGAGAAAGGCTCCAAAGATTAGAAAATTGAGCATGGAGTATCTTACATGATTTTCAATGAGAGTTCAAGAGCAGCCGTGCTTGATAAATTTATATCAATTCCTCATTACACATATGAAGATTCTTTTCTTAAGGATTACTTCTTATCACAAATAGTCTTTGAGCCAACAAAGAAGAAGGTTGAAGAAGGTGGTTTTCACACTAAATTCATCTTAGCACACTTCAAAACTCGAGGACGAGTTTTCTCTAACCAAGGGAGAATGATGCGGGGCAAAATTATTCTTATTTTTATTTTTTATTTAATTTCAAAGAATATATTTTATAGTTTTAGTTTTAGGATTTATTTATAGGTTTTTTAGTTTTTAGGGATTCTAGGGTTTTTTTTACTTCATGAGTACTATTCATGGGTATTATTCATAGGGGTAAAACTGTCATTACAACTTTTAAGTTGAGTTAGGATATATGGGTCAATGCCTTATTTATTTGGACACCTTTTTTACTTAGAACATTATATTGTAATATATAAGAGGTGTGTGGAGCATTGAGGGGGTGATTCCACTTGTTTTTTAGAAATTGAATGAAAGAAAAGCTTAAGCTTTTCTTCTCAAAAAAACCTAGGGTTTCTTCTCGAAGAGAATGTGGAAAAAGGAGAGGACTCAAAGAAGGTCACATCCATCAAGAGGAATTTCTTTCTTGGCAAAGGATCATAACATTTCTAACCCTTTGAGAAGATGGATAATAAAGAAAAATACATTTTATAGATTTGGGATCCAACATTGTATGGCACAGACTAAGAACATGAGCAAAGTAAACACAAACAAAGACCTTGTGGGCAACACTAAACAGTGGACAATCATGACATGGAAGTTTATAGGGATATATGTACTCTTTTTTTTTTTTAAGAATGGGAATATTGGTAATTTAAAACATGAGATGGTATCTAATTGATAAGACAGAATGCAGTGGGTATAACTTCAGACCAGAATTTCTTGGGTACAATCATTCTCGAGAAAAGCACGACCAACCTCTAAGCAATGTCAATCCTTTATTTCAGCCACACCATTTTGTTGTGGTGTGTAAGAGCAAGAATTTTGATGTTCGATACTATATTCTTCCAAATCGGACAACAACTCTCTATTGCAAAGCTCCCCACCTTTATCAGACACTTAATTTTAGAAAATCAAACTGGAGTGTGGATCATCTCAGGAAAGACATTAAATGTATTACAAAATTCTTCTTTGGTCGTCATAAGATCTAAGTACATTGAGAGAAATCATCCTTAAAAGAACAAAATACCAACAGCCAAAAATAGATGTAACAGGAGAGGGACCCCAAACATCAATGTTTTATCATCAATGCGTAAAAAAGAGTTTCTACAATGTTTTGACAGTTCACAAACCTCAAATTGAAACTCTGATGCACTAGCCGAAATAAACAACTTAGAAAACAAAACTTTCATCGCAAAAAAAGATAAATGACCAAGTCGGAGATGTCATTGCCAAATCCGATCTTTATTAATATTGGCCTTAGACTTAAGGGCTTGAGTAGTTGCTTCGAGTGTAGAATGTAGAGACCACAAACTTCATGAGCGCTACCAATCGTCTTCTTTGTACCTAAATTCCGAAATATACAGTGGGAAGGAAAGAGGGTTACAATACAATTTAGGCTCTTGGTAATGCTACTGACAGACATTAAGCTTGTAGCAAACTGGGAACATAAAGAATTGATGATAATGACATTTGAGGGGAAATATTTACAGTTCCTTTTCTAGAGATAGAAGAAAGACATCCATCAACGATCCTAACTTTCTCTACCAGAACAAAGAGAATAAGAAGAAAACAAGGAAGACATACTGGCCATCTGGTCTGAGGCTCCTGAATCAATAATCAAAGATGGTTTAGATAGATTAAGAGAGACATGACAAGCAAAGCATGAATACATGAATGTGCAAAAGATGATGTAGAAGTAGTGGATGAGCCATCTAAGAGAGCAACCAGCCAAGGCTCTCAATCTCCTCTTTAGGAATTCATATCATCTATATTGGAGTAGAAATTGGACGTTCAATTGCATTGATTAATGGCTGGTCAGTACTAACAGCTGCTCCCCTAGTCATGAAGGATTATAAGCATCAAACGGACTTGGACAATTGTATTTGGCTGGCTGACCAACTAAATTCTGGTACGTTTCTATATTATGACCATTTCTTCCACAATGGTCATATTTCATCTTAAGTTTATCTCCTGGATTAGGTGTCTCTTTTCCAAATTTGCAAGATCCAACCCCTTATTGTTTTGGAGGTAATGAGGCTGAAGCAAGGGCAAATCAATCAACTACTTGAGTAGGCGGCATGACACTTTTCCTACTCTCTGCACTTTGGATGAAACAGTACACCTGATTGAGCAATGGAAGATAATCCGTACCGAGTATTTGAACCCTAGCTAACTCAAACTCAGGGTTCAATCCAGCCAAGAACTTAAAAATATGGTTTTGCCATGCAAACTACTTCTTTTTTCCCCTTCTTCCTTGCAGGCTGGCTTAAAGAACTGGTATTGGTGTAACTCCGCCCACATGCTATGAAGAAAGGAGAAATATGCAGAAGAGACCTCTCCCCTTGTCGATGATGGGAAATTTCCTGTCTCAGATGGTACAATCGAGCCACATTTTTTCTTTCAGAGTAGGTTTGTTATTACCAAGTCCCAAATCTCTCTCATGCTTCGTAGGGACAAGAAGCACCTACTAGCCGATGGCCGTAGAATGTAATTACCAAAACATTACGGTCAAATTTTAAGTTTCCCACTTCTCATGTGAGGGATCTGTTTATTCGGGTTCAATAACCTTTCCATGATGTACCCAAATTTTTCCTTTCCACTAATAAATTTTTTGTTGACTGTGACCACTTTAAATAATTTGTTCCATCAAGTTTGACAGTCAGAATCTACAGTCCAGGGTTTATCTCCATGGATATCCATATGGTGGGTTACACTTGGACTACTAGAGATGGCAGAGGAGTTACAAATACTAGACATGCCAGCCACAGCACAAGTTGTCTAACTAAGAAAACTTGCTGAACAACACAATCAGTAACTCAAAAACATGTTTATTGACACAATCAGCAACTCAACTTCACTTCCCATTAGGATCCCAGACACAGTTTCCGAGATCTATAGGGAGGTCAAATCCTGCATTGGGATCAAGACTGCAGATCGAGAGATACTTGAAGAGACAGCAATCAAAATCCATGCACCGTGAGGTACCTAAGATATGAGACCATCCATAAAAGATATCTTGATAATGACTGAGTCTCACTACTCAAAAACAAAGGTATGACATACTTAGGGGTTCTGAAAACACTATCGAATCATCCCAACCAAATCTAGGGGTTTTTAACATCATCATCCCAACTAGATCTAGGGCTTCTAACATCTTTGAGTCATCCCAACCAGATATTGGGTTTTTAGGCCATCAATCATCCCAACCGGATCCAAACCTAGGGCTTTTAACACCATTGAACCATCCCAACCAGGTATAGGGTTTTAATCCAACATCAAGAACTTAAACTCAGGGTTTTTCACTAAGTAGCTTGTCTTCAGATTTAAGGTTTCTGACCATGCCGGTGATGGAGACCATCCCATGGTCAGATCACATCATCAGGGTTGCAATAACCATGGCCAAAGTCTACTGTGATACCAAGTTAAAAACATGCAGCAGTAAAAAAGAAGAAGAATAAGGGAGAGGATGATCTAGAGAGAAAAAAGAAAGGAATGGAAGAGACAAATGATGCCCCTCTTCTAATATATAGAAGAATAAGGGAGAGGATGATCCATACGCCCCTCTTCTAATATAAATATTATTATTTTTTACTTGCATACAATGATGTCATTTTCATGAGGGAAATGACAGCTAAGTTCTTCGGGACTTATATACAGTAGAAAAGAGTATATAACGTTAATATTAACAATAGGAAGTAGCTGTAAGGGCTGCCACTGACAAAGAAGCCGAATAATACACCCTGCAATTTGTTTGGAGTTAATATTTTCCAGCAATTTTCTTTGGATCAAGAGTCCCATTCTTCTTCGTATGTGCAACTATGTTTCGCCAAACTCAACACATACGTACCGAGTGGACACAGACGTCTCTCCCATCTTGTTGTCCATTTTTTTGCTAGAAATCGAATTTGCAATGAACCACACCATTAAGAAAATATAATTTGCATGCCCAAGATTAGTATACAATAATAAATGTTATCCACAGAGCTCACACTGAAAGAGCAAAACTGTAGAAAATTTTGGAATCTAATATTAATTTAGGTATTCATTTAAAGAGCACCACTATGCCACTACATCTTAATAAGCTCTTTGATCGATAGGCATGGTGATCTGCAATTTTTCAACACTTCGCAGCTGGGAAGAGTTCAGTTCTCGTTCATGTATTCTTTGCAGGAGATAGATCTCACGAACAAACAGAGGAAGGCTGATTTTGTATTTGTCAAGGATAAATCTGCACTCTCCAACTCTGGTTCGTGTATTCTTTGCAGGGGGTAGATCTCACCAACAAACAGAGGAAGGCGGATTTTGTATTTGTCAGGGATAAATCTGCACTCTCTGACTCTTCTATCAACACTTTGCAGCTGGATAGGGGTCAGAAATCGGGTTCATATCTTCTTTGCAGGTGATAAATCTCATCACAAACTGAGGTAATATGAATAACTCAAATGAATTTGAGGGATAAGCAACTGATACACATCACAAACTAAGGTAATATGCATAACTCAAATGAATTTGAGGGATAAGCAACTGATACACATCACAAACTAAGGTAATATGCATAACTCAAATGAATTTGAGGGATAAGCAACTGATATACATCACAAACTAAGGTAATATGCAAAACCCAAATGAATTTGAGGGATAAGAAACTGATACACATGGTATGGTGAGGATGAGTTAAATAACATTCATCAAGGACTTGCAAGAAACACTGGAACGGGGTAGACTTACTCGTGTAGTCGTCTGTAAGAGGTACAAAGGAAATCCATGAGCTGATGAAGAATATATGACGGAGACTGAAAGGTTATAAAGTGGGAGGATAGGTAAAATCCTGGAGGGAAGCCAAGGAATAAATTGAAGGTAGGATGGGAATTTGATTTGAGGGAGGCTTTCAGCAAGACTTCTGATTTCACAGAAGAAATAAACCTCCTCAGATAGATTCCTTCCAATGATGTGCTTGTGCATTGATACATTAGTTCATGCGTAAACAGCTCCTCTCTCTCTGTCTCCCTCTCTCTCACACACACATTTCCATTTTCTTGAATCCTTTTTATCTGAGTCCTATTCTTTTTGCATTTTCCTTGTACTTCTTTATTGTTTTGTTATTTTTAATCTTCCTCCATTTTCATTTTCTTCTTTGCAATTTTCTGCATTCCCTTCTTTCACTCTACTTTTTAATTTCAATTTTTTCTTTACCATCTAAAGTTTGTGCAATGCATGTACTCACAGCACATAAAATTCAATGTTTGTCACAATATTTAATATGATAGAATCGTAAATATAAGAGAGTCACGAAATGTAAGTTTCTCATTTCTACTTCAATGTAATTTTATACAACAATCAAATAGATGAGATGAAGACAAGTAATTAGAAGCATCTTACATAACTTGTTGCTAAGAATGCATTGAGTTGAGTTGTTAGTACAAATCTAAGGAGTCCAGCACTCTGCGTGCGTGTATGTGTAGTGCTGACTGCCTCTGCTCATTGTCAAGTGAGGATCCAAACTGGCTTGCAGCCCAAATGAGGGAGGCACACTCCTCCCCAAGAAGGTATCTTAGGTCTTCTTGTGTGGATGCCAATGGAGCCTTTTGCCACACATTTGGACTATCTTTGTTGACTGCATTTCTATTTGCTGATGGCAATACATGCCCCACTAAAAGCAGCAAAAACTCTCCACATTTTAACCTGAAATCATGACAACTTTCACTGAATTGCTTTCATAGAGCAGAAATAGCAGAGATATACTGAAAAATATAATTATAAACCAAGCGAAACTATCATGCCCCCCAATACTTCAGGAATGTCACATGACGCATCAAGGAATCAATTGGATAATACCAAACATATCATAAAACTGAGAAATTAAGGCAGAAAAATACAATTATGAGGGATATAAGCCACAAAGCTCTTGATTTGTTCAAATAGATGGAAACATATTGCAATTTCTCTTATAAATAACCAAGCTAAAATAGAGAGAAAGTAATTGCACAGGGAGTATTGTGAGGGAGGGAAACAGAAAAGGGAAGAGGAAGGAGAAGCAAGGGATAGTGCCTGAAAAGACGATGGAAGAGAGCAATGGTGGAACTCCTAAGCAGTGAAAGCAACTGCAGAACTTCAAAGCTAGCCATTATCTTCCTCTTCTAAATTGCAAATTTAGAAATCTTACCATTCTCATTAAAAGGGACCTTTATCAATTTCTCAAAACTATCTCAACTATCAATGGAGTTCTTGAAAAAGTTTAAGCCCTTTGCCATAAAATATTGTATTTAGGGAAAATTATAGATACCCCCCAATTTGTACTTTCTAGGCACACCAAAAATTTATTTGATACCACACTACCCTCTTTATTTTTGTACCCACCCCCCCATGTAAAAAAGTTGAATCTTTTGTTCCAGAATACCCCCTGTTTTAGACCACGTTTCCAAAAAATGATGCCTAACATGTGCTGCTCTCGCACAAAAATGTGTTGGACAAGCTTGTGCCAAATCGGCTTTTGAAAAAGTGTTGGACTGGCTTCTGATATTAAAATTCTACTAGTCCGGCACAAAATGTGTCGCATCGGCTTATATTGAAATTGTGCAGGTCAAGCACAAATGTGCCTGACCAGCTTGTATATTCAAGTTGTCCCGGTCCGACACATTTTGTGATGAAATGGCTAATATTGAAATTGTGCTAATCTGGCACAAAATGTGTCGGAGCTTGTATATTCAAGTTGCGCTGGTCCGACACATTTTTTGCTAGAACGGCTTGGAGAGAGAGTGGGAAATGGAGGTTAAAATGATGGTATTTTGGTTAAAAAAAAGAAGTCATCTTTTTTGCTTGGAGGGTGGGTGCAAAGCAAACCGTGTTGGGGTTACTAGTATGGGGTGAGGGGAATGTTGAGAAAGTACAATTTGGGGGAGTGTCTATAATTTTCCCTTGCATTTACTCATACAAGTAATTATGGCAAGGAGTGTGCATATGTATGTATGTTGGGGTTAGGGGAACTCTTCTTGTTTTTTTTTGGAGAACTCTTCTATGATACCATTTTTTTATATATAGATAGAGGTATTAAATATTATGAGACCATTTATTTTTGGTAGAAAGGAAATCACAATAACTTTTAGCCATTGGATGTAAAATCCGATAGATGAAAGTGTTACATCATTCGAGAAATTTTTTTCGGACTTTGTGCTCAAACATGACACATCCTCAACCATTCGATTTCAAATCTAACGGTTAATGATGGTTGTGACTACGTTGTATCAAAAACAAACGGTTTCATTGTATACATTATATAGATAGAGGGATTAAATACTATGAGACCATCTATTTTTTAAACAAAGGAAATCACAATAACTTTTAACCATTGGATGTGAAATCCAATAGATGAAAGTGAGTCACAACATTCGAGAAATTTTAGTTTGGACTTTGTGCTCAAACAATGACACATCCTCAACTAGCTGATTTGAAATCAAACAATTAATGATGATTGTGACTTCCTTGTATTAAAAGCGAATGGTCTCATTATATACATTTCCACACACTGTAGCACTTCGCCTATAGGCGTTTTTAAAACTTATATCTATATATATATATATATATAGGAAAATGATCCTGTGAGCCAGTGGGCTCACAAGTAAAAAAGAGTCCAACGGCCCAGATTGAATCTAGGCCGATCAGACGATCATGGATGCCCGATAGTGTTTAAATTTTAAATTTTTTTCTACAAATCCAAATCACTTGAAATTTTAGGCGTGTGTTCATAAAAAATAAGTTGTATCTTTGAAAAATATCAAAAAAATATTTTACATGAAAAAAGTGACCAAAATACCCCCGTAAAGTTTCAGGGGTATTTTGGTCAATTTGGTTTTTATGGATTATTTTTTTTATATTTTTATTAGGTGTGGCTTGATGAAAAGAACATACACCTAAAATTTCAAGTGATTTGGATTTGTAAAAAAAAATTACAATTCAAACACTACCGGACATCCGTGATCGTCAAATCGGCCC